ATGGCAGGGCCTCCTCCCCGCAGCGGGATGCGGTGGCCGTGCCTGTGCCCTGGGCAAGCGCGTGAGGATGAGCTAGAGGAGGGTTTTTCCCCAAGGTACCACCTTTTCCGAAAGGTTTCCTGTTCCTCACGTTAAGTTTTTTAGCGAATAAAGTCTCAAGGGCCCATCGCCTCCGTGGCAGCTGAGCCAGGGGCTGCCCCTGCCCAGAGGGCAAACCCGGGGAGCCCCGGGGCAGCACGAATTTGCCGGATTAAATTTCCAGTAGCCTCACGGAGAGGCCGGGGGAGCCCTCGAGCATCAGGTTCAAGGCAAGAGCACGCGGCTCCCGGCGTGGCCGGCGGAGAGGGATGAAGGCAGGAGGAAGCGTGCGCGGGGGACAGCCCGCGGGGAGACGGCTTCTGGGCCTTCAGGAGTTGTTCTCGGGAAGTCAAAACCAACAAAAAGCCCACCGTTAGCGTTGGCCAACAGCCCCGCTGGAGCAGGTGTCCGAGCTGCATAGAGAAGGCTTCATCTCAACGTGGCGGGGGGAAGGAGAAAGGGGGGGACCCAGAGAAAGTGCTTGAATCACCGGGGAGCGACGAGCTCGGAGAGGAAAGGCAGGAACGCAACCCAGGAGCGGGGGCCGAGCGAGCAGTGCCGACGAAGGTGGGGTACAGGGTGTCACCCCCCCCGCAAGGCTTCTCCTTTCCCAGCCGCTTACAGTGCGCGAGTGTCTTCTGAGCCACCCTCAACACTTCTTCTTGAGGACCTCCTGGAGATAGCGGGCGACCTCTGCAGCCGACTCCCAGGGGACGACGGTGGCCTGGAAGGCTCCAGGCTGTTTCTTCTCCATCTCTTGGGTCATGCGGTGCATGGGGTAACCCTTCCGCGGGAAAACCACGTCAGCTGAAGTCAAAGTCACGGAAGGGCAGAAGTCATTGGCACCATCTCCCACGTAGAAGACCCTCTCGAACTCCACCTCCTCCTGGGCTCTCTCCGCCAGGTATTCCGTTAGGATTTTGCGTTTGCACATGTTGGCCGGGCAGTCAAGGCACTTGTGGCTGTGGTAGGGCCCCAAGGTGAAGTACCCCCTCTTGTCAAAGCCGGACGGGTTGCTGAAGATCTTACGGAAGAGGGAGTAGAAACCGGCTGCCCTCAGACTGCTTTCGATGCCGAACATGTTGGCATCAGAGATGAGGATGATCTCAAAGAGCTCGTGGTTCTTGGAGAGGAACTGGAAGAGGTCTGGCATGCCAGGGGACAGGGGGATGGTCTCGTAGACAGTCTTGAAGTCCCCCATCTTGACCCCCTGGTCCCCCATGTATGCCAGGACGCGCTGCATGTACTCGTTGTAGAAGCCCTCGCGGAACGTCTGTCGGATGTGCTCTGGAAGCGCCTGCCCTGGCGCCGCCCGGACGATGGAGTCATCGCTGTTCTCGTTGATGATGGTCTCGTCGAAATCGAAGACGAGGAGGTATTTGGGAGGCCGGGAGCTGGCCATACCAACACCCTGTGAGGTAGAAGGACAACACCCAGCTCTTAGCCCAAGGCACGTCGCTTTGGCCCCGGCCCAGCGATGGTGGCCACCACCGCAGCAGGAGGCTGTGGGCCCCGCAGAGCGATGCTCCTTGGCTACCTTACCCCCAGGCAGCTTATTAGCCCAGCGGGGCTTGTGGGGCAGGACGGGGCGGGGGGGGTTAATC